GTCCATCCCTTTCCAGTTGGATCTCATCAGTTCCCTGGTTCAAACACTTCAAGGCATGCCTCTTTTCTCCAAGGCGATGGAGTGTACACTGCTAAGGGCAGATGTGAAGGCCCTCCTTGATCTGGCCCTGGCTTACTTCTTCAGCCCCGCCTCTCACCACGCCTCCCTCTGTGTCCAGTGTCTAGTCTAGACTTTTCCGTTCCCAAAGACCTTGTATCCACGAGGATGTATCCAAAGTCCTCTAACAGGATTTTGTGTATGCTGTTTCTCCTGCCTCATTTAGCATTTCTTCCCATCCTCAACGGACCGACTCCTGCTTATAAATCAGGTCTCAACCTAGAGGCCGCTTCCACCAGGAAGCCTGCTTTGTGTCGCTGTGAGGATGGAGTGCGCCCCATGCTGGCCACCAGAGAGCCCTCATCACAGAGCTGCATGTGCTTGTCTCCTTGTTTACGGATCGCTTGCCCAGTGGTCTGTGTCCCCATGCCTCGCAGCGCTCCGAGGCCAGGTGTGATGATGGCCTCGCTCAACTTTGTGTCTCTAACACTTAGCACAGTTCCTCCCATGGAGGGGTGTCCTCTGCAAACAGGGCTTAAATAAATGAATGGAACGATGACCGAGTGCCTTCCGGGAGTCTGCAGCCGGGCAGAATTTGGGGCAGGTACTCTCCTCTCCTTGGGTTGGTTTTATTTGTGACCCTGCTTCCGAGTAGGGACTTCCTGGGATGGCCAGTAGGCTCCATAAGTCGCGTGGCTGTCTGTTGCTGTGGGATGGTTCCTCTGGGGGGTCAGCAAATTTGGAGTCATTCAGAGCATCAGTTCCAACCTATAAATCCATCATAGGCGGGGAGCTGACATCCATTCTACACGGGGCACATAAATAAGCTATGGGCCTTTTTTATTTGATGTTTCGCGTGGAAAAGGCCGTGAGGATGTTCACGGAGGGCTGTCGGAGAAGGCTGATGGGGCAGAAGGAGCAACGGCACAAATAACAACCACTGCTGTCAGCCGAGCTCTTAACTCACTGCAGGCACCTTGCAGAGCACTGGAGAGCGAGTTCTCTCACTTTGTGTTACTCATGTCGCGAGCAAACCTATAGCATAGGCACTACTTTTTTGTTTGTTTTTTTTACCTTTTCCCTTTAGCCAAATTTTATGTTATATCTGTATTTTTTATTGAAGTATAGTTGATTTACAATATTGTGTTAGTTTCAGGTGTACAGAAAAGTGATTCAGTTATGCATATTTTCTTCAGATTGTTTTCCATTATAAGTTATTACAAGATATTGAATATTGTTCCCTGTATTATACAGTAAATCCTTGTTGCTTGTCTGTTCTACGTATGGTAGTTTGTACCTGTTAATCCCAAACTCCTAATTTATCCTCCCCCTGCTTTCCCCTTTGGTAACCGTAGTTTGTTTTCTATGTCTGTGAGTCTATTTCTGTGCTGTGTATAGATTCATTTGTATATTTCTTTTTTAGATTCCACAGATAAGTAACATCATGTAATATTTGTCTTTCTCTGTCTGACTTACTACATATACACTACTTGGATCTGCGTTGCATGCACGGAGAAACAGGTTTAGGGAAGCGAGACAACTTGACCAAGGTCACACAGTGAGAAACTGATGGAGCCAGTCCTGGAATCGTGGATGACTCAAAATAGGCTCCTGGATGGTGTACTGGTGTAGGTTCCAACCTCCGTTTTGCTAAAAACTATAATAAAATGTTTTTTGATGGCTTAGCATGGCCAGGACGCTTGATAGCTGTGTGCTCTTGGGAAGATGATATAACGTCTCTGATTCTTTGTTACCTGGATATTGTGCCTGGTGATTTTGAGGATTGGGTGTGAGTGCTTATAAAGGTCTGAGTGCAGTGCCTGACACATAGCAGACATCCAGTAAACCGTAGGTGCTACCTGGGGAAACACACCTTTGGCAGCCTTGAGTGTCTTCCATCACTGAGGCAGATTTGGTTCAATTACCCTGGACCCTTGTTAAAGAGCTCTAAAGCGCGTTACGTCCTGCCTCTCAGGGCAGGTGAATGACACGAGTCTTGAAACTGTCATCACCATCAGTTACAGCAAAGCACGTTTGCTTGGTACTTCTTCGGAGATTATTATGTGGAGTGCAGGGGAAAAGCCCAGAAGCATACATGCATTTAATTGCTGGGGTCATTTAATTAGGCAGGTGATATCAGGGTTAATGAATCATTAACATGTAAGAAAGCAATTAGTTCATTGTTTCCATAAATTTATGCAATCAGGAAAACTGCTTCTTAGGGTAGCTGTGCCTTAATAGAATTTTGCAGAGGGTAATTTCTGTTGTTTTGTTTTCACACTAGGTCTGCAAATACACGGCCGTCGTTGATATTCATGGCATTGATTTTGTCACTATTAGTACGCAAGTGTATATAAGTTTATATATAGTATGACAGTAGGGTAACAATGGATGTAGGTGTGCATTGCCACAATGCTCAGTGGACTCACTTTTTCTGGGATTCTTCCCGGAGTATCAGAGCTGTTTCTCACTGGTCATTCATTTGTTCATTCTTCATTCATATTCATGAAATACTTATCAAACTCCTACCATGGGCCGCCCATTGTTCAGGCAATGGAAGTACTTTGTTGAACATGACAAACAAGGTCCCTGCTTTCAGGAGGCTTACACTCTACAAGGAGGGATCAATAATACGCAAGTAAATAAACACACAAATATTAGGCAATATCAAGTGCTGTGGTGAACATACATCAAGGTGCGTGATCATCAGGGAAGTCCTCTCTGAGGAGCTGGCATCCACGTTGACTTCTTAATGCAAGAGGGAGCAAACCGTGCAAAGATCTGGGAGAACATTCCAGGGTCCAGGTCTTGTGCTTGTGGGAACAAGCTCGGTGCTTAAAGAGCTGGAAGAAAGCAGGCATGGGAGGTGCTGTGGGAGGGACGAGGGCACAGAGGCAGCGGTGCGAGCCACATGGCCGCGTGGGCTAGCTGAGGAGTGGGGACCTACTGGAAGTGTGGGTCTTTCCACCACTGGGGCTTTAAGTCAGACAGTGATGGCGTCCTGGTTTGTGTTTACAAAGGCTCCTCCGCTTGCTGTGAAGAAAGGGCTATGGGGGTGGGGAGATGAGTTAGGGGAGGGATGGGGAGGCTTGGCCAGCGGGGTGGCAGGAACAGGGTGGCCCAGGATGCAGTTTTGAGGTAGAACTGAGAGATGGGCTGATGGCTTAGTTGTGGGTGTCAGGGAAGAAAGGACCCACTGGTGTCTCCCAGGCTTGGTAGTTGAACAAGTGGGTCTAGGGTAGTGCCGTGTTCTGAGATGGGGCGTCTGGGGACGAGCAGTTGGCTGTGGGTAAAATCAACAATTGTCTTTGGGCTGTAATCCAACTGAGATGCCGAAATGGTCTCTCTCTCCCTCCCCTCCCCCCCGGCCCGGATTCTGCATGTCTGTGTGTGTTGGGAGACTCTCATATTTACTAGACTGTGTATTTATCGTATGTGATAATAGGTATGGCATTGTGCCTTTTATAAAATGTTATCTCATAAAAACCCTGCAAGGTATATCATTCCCATTCCCAAATTAATAAATTGTAGCTCAAAGGTGAAATGCTTCTCCGAAGTCACACAGGTAGTAAGGGGTTGGGCTGGAGTTTGAACCCTGGTCTGTCTGATCCCAGAGGCTGTGGTTTCTCCTCTCCCAGGCTGCCCCCCAGATTTGCTCTGCTCCCTCCATGACTGAGGCGCTCCATGCTTACAGCGAGATGCCGGGGCAGGCTTCTCCACAGCACCTCCGTCTTCCCCTCTTACCACGTCGTCCCCTTCAGAAGACAAGGTAATACCGCTCCCAGCTCCTCATTTAAAACACAGCGCTGGGGGCTTCCCTGGTGGCGCAGTGGTTGGGAGTCCGCCTGCCGATGAGGGGGACACGGGTTCGTGCCCCGGTCCGGGAGGATCCCACATGCCGCGGAACGGCTGGGCCCGTGAGCCATGGCCGCTGGGCCTGCGGGTCCGGAGCCTGTGCTCTGCAACGGGAGAGGCCACAACAGTGAGAGGCCCGCGTACTGCAAAAAGCAAACAAACAAAACACAGCGCTGGGAAAGCGTGAGCTGCCCACGTCTGCGTGCACTGATGGTGGGCCGCGCAGCTTGCCCCTGCTCCCGTGGTGAACCCCAAGGATGCTGCTTGGGTGTTATTCTCGGGAAAGGAACTGCTGTAGGTGACTTTTACTCAACTTGGGATAATTCAGTGGCACTGCGCCAACATTAGAGGTTGGCTGGCCTGTCTGTATGTGACCGGGCGGCCTGGCGGGTCAGGGAGGTGCAGGGAGACGGGCCGGTGGGAGGCCTGGGTGGAAACCCTCTGCCGTGGGGCCCTCCCTTCCGGGCCAGGGGCCAGGGGGCAGGCCAGCCCTGACGTGAGGAGGGGGCCCGGGGATGGCGGGGGGCACGTCTCGGGGACTCTTGCCTGCCTGGGTGTCTGGGCCCCGGTGGGCGTGAGGCCGAAGTTGAATGCAGCCCCAGAGCTGGCTCAGCCCCTCAGGTTGGATTCACAGAAAAGAGAAGAGAAGGGTCAGGACACGCTGGGAAGGCGTTCTCACCTGCCAGGACATCCTGGCTTGAACCCCATGGCCTGAATTAGAAGCCCCTGTCCCGTCTCGGGGCCCCAGCGGAGCTCACCCAGGCTGTGGGGTGAGCTGCTGTGGGAGCATCCTCAGCGGGAACCACACAGCCCCTTGCTGGGCACCTTCAGTGGGGACCTTGCCGCCCCCTGGACCGCACGGCCCCTCAGCGCAGCCGCCCGCATCGCCCCGGCTGGACTCCTGGCCACCGCCCGGTACGGAGCCCAGCGCTGCCCGGGCCCCTCCCGGGTCCTGCCCTGCGGTCTCTTAGCGAGGCTGCCCCACCTTTACCGTAGGTTTGGGGTCGAATGCTGTGCGTACTGTTGGTATTTAACAAGCGTTTTTTAGCTTGAACTGAATTCTGAGGCTTCTTTTTTCTTTTTTTCAGACCAAGCCGGTGGTACGTTGTGACATAAACGTGCCTCCCAGGTGGCGAACATCCCATCGTTTATCCCGACAAATCAAGTGAGTACAGTGGGGTGCGGGGGGGTGGAGCTCCTTAAAGACGTTGCGCCGCCTTCGCCCCGCTTCTGCTCGGCCCCTCCCTTCTCTCTGACGCTCACCCTTCCCCCCGGGAGCCTTCTGTATGGTTCAGCTGCATGTTCTTCTCTCGTGAACCTTGATTTTGGAGAAGCAATGCCGTTGCCCGCCGCGGCTGCCAGTTCACGTGGGGTGGAAGTGCACGGCTTAGTCTTAGCTTTTTGTTTATTTTTGGTAACCTAGCCCTTGCAGTTGCTGGATGGTGAAAGGAAATGTAGAAGTTATGTTCCCACCAAAGCCCCTTGGCGGGGGAGACGGGCTGTCTGATGCTCAACGCGCCCTGGTCAAGGTTGCCTGAGGGCTGGCTGTCCCGGGAAGCGGCTGGTGGGGCAGGTGTAGAGGTGCCGGGGGACTCTGTCCCGGTTAATCAGGACCCCTCTGTGGGCCGGCCCGCGTTATGCTTGGGGCTGTAGAAAGAGAACACACTTGACTCAGGTCAAACATTGGTTCAAATCCCTCTTTTCACCTTGTCGGCTTTGTGACCTGCACACGCTTCCTCTCTCTGAATTGGCATCCTCATTTGTAAACAGGGTGGTGACATGCACCTGCAAAGTCCCAGGAAACCCCGCCCAGTTCTCGTTAAGGGGCAGGAATTCTCCAAATGGCAGCCATTCCCTCCCAATCCTTCATATATTGTGCCGTTTTGATATTATAGGGATGAAAATCCCTGACTTGAAGTTCCAGAGGGCACCTTCCCTCTTACCCGGTTCTGTTCCCAGCGGAAGGAATTTCAGTGAGTTTCCAGGGTCCTGGCTCTATGTCTGAGGGGTGGCAGCAGCAGGCCAGTCCCAGCCTTGGGTAGCAGAGAGCCCACATTCCGACGAGTCATCCTTCACGCCCCTGCTGACCAGCAAAGGACTGGGGGCTCAGGAGGCTGGGAACCCCCTGCCAGACACAGTGGAGCCCCCGGCTGGGAAGCCCAAGGATGGAGCAAGCATGACCTGCTTATTAGCTAAGCTGTTCCTTTCACTTACCTTCCAAAACCCAACCATCATTTCTTTAAAATACTTTTCCTTAGGCCTCTGCAAGGGAGCCACTCAACACATCTGAGATCCTTCCACTGTGCCTTTTATACATCTGAGAGCTGTTCTGAAATAATGAGAGACACAGTATTTCTAAATTTTATGAAGGACACCTCTTTCTGAAGAATGGATAGAAATCTCAGGGAACATTATTGGCTTATGGGTCCTTTCTGGCAAAGACACATATCACTAGACATACATTTCTGGGGGGAGCCTGACCCACACTGTCAATGGTTTTCACTTATTTTAACAGACCTTTTTTTTTCCTGTTATAAACCAGTTATTCTTAAGGCCTGTGCTCTATTCTTTATATGGTGTGCTAGAAACTCCACTAGATGGACCCAAATACCCGTCCAAATGCAAGGCCTTTTCTCCCAAGGGAAGGCCTGATCATGTTTGCTTGGAGACCTTGTAACTTAAAAACAAACAGAAAATAGTTACCATGGCTTTCAGAGTTTTTGATGTTCGAGGTGAAAGGTGTTTTGACCCTTCCCAGTAAGCCGGGAGCTGGGGTAGAGGGAGCGGGGGGCTGCTGAGCGTGAGTTCTGTAGCAGCTGGATGGTGGAGAGAGAAGCTGTTCCCCCTGACTGTCTGCGTGTCCTCAGAATTCAGCTGGTCGAGTCCACATTCAGGAGAAGCCGCCAGCCTGGAGGCGGAGGCTCAGGTCTGTGTCCTGGTCTGTCATGAACTAAGCTGTGTGCTGCGGTAAGTGGCGTCCACTGCCACTACCGCCACCGTCACCGCGTCACCTGGCAAAATCCATTCCTAGATCCAAGTGCTGTTTCCTACTTTGAAAAATTCAAAACGTTTCCTATTTAAAAAATTTAAAGTATGTCTTGCTTAAAATATTTTAAATATTACCTATTAAAAATTAATGAGCACATTGGGAGGTGTATTGGCAAAGCTGTTTTATGCCTTTAACCTCTCTTATTTCAAAGTAATTTTTAAAAATTAACTATTTTTTATGGCCAGAGTAACTTACACCCATGGTAAATATATTGTTTTAAAAGGTATACATTAAAAGTAAATCTTCTGCCCACTTTATATCCCCAGAGGCAACTGTTAAAAGTTTCTGGAGTGTCCTTGTAAGACAGGCTTTGCATATTCAAGGATTTACAGGCGTATGTATGCTGCAAGCGTTGCTGTGTATCTTCCTTTTTCTTTCACAGAATTTAATATGGCTTCTTATTAGCACATACAGATACGTTGTGCTTTAAAAAATGGCTACCTAGTATTACAAAAGCGGTCTGTACGTAATTAACAATGGTGGGCTTTCACTGTGTGTCCAGGAGCTGTGCCTGTCCATTACCTCTCTGTCACAGACTTTCTAGGGAAACAATCTTTGGGTGTATTTCTTGGGGTTGGTCATCCATCTACCTGGATCGTCAGGTGGAAGACGGGCTGTCTGATGCTCAAACAGCACAGACCTAAAATCTGGCAGAGCGAGAAGGGTCTAGTTCATTCTCCAGCTCAACTGGAAAACTTCTGGGGATGTATTAAGTCCATCACTCCCTCTAAACTTGAAATTTCCTAATTTCTTTATTGTTAACATTTCTTTCTTGATCGTTAACAATTTAAAAAATCCTTTTCTCCGTATTTACATGCTTCGTATAAAAAAGTGGACATCTGGAAATGTGTTAAGAGTAAAATCAAAATCGCTCGTTATCCTTCTCCTCAGAGACGGCCCCTGTTAACTTTGAGGGCCACTTACTTTTAGTTCTCTCTGTACTTGCTGGTGTGTTTTCTTACAGCATTAATTGTATTTGATCATTTTCCCCCTAAATACAAATTCTGCATAAACAATTTTAAATGGCTGCATTAGTTATTATTGTATCCTGTGCTATGATTTGTTTCACCATTCCTCTGCACTTGGACATTTAGGTTGTTTTTATATTTTGGTTTTTGTAAATACAGGCAAACTTTCTACTTTGTTTTATCGCGCTCTGCTTTCTTGTGTTTCGCAGATAAGGCTTTTTTTCTTTTACAAATTGAAGGTTTGTGGCCGCCCTCTGTTGTCACATGATAGTAAACATTTTTTTTTTTAACAATAAAGTATTCTAAATTAACGTACGTACATTGTTTTTATAGACTACAGTATAGTGTAAACGTAACTTCTCTATGCACTGAGAAACCAAAAACTTTGCGTGACTCGCTTTGTTTCTGTGGTCAGGGGCCAAACCCGCGATGTCTCTGAGGTTTGCCTGTGACCCTGCGAGAGACGTTTCTACAGGTTCACATATACGTGCCCGCATTTCCGTGGGTTGGAGTTCAGGGAGTGGACAGACTGTGTCAGTGATTCCTGGTCCCATGCGTCTCCATGTCTATGTCCCCAGGTCGCCCTTCAGGAAGATCGTGCTCACTTTTACCCACGTCAACAGTGTATATGTGTGTGTGTATCAGCCTGCGAGGGCTGCCAGAATCTGTGGGGGACACAGTTCAGTCCATAACAGCGTGCTTATTTCCCCGCACTCAGCGTGAGAATCTGTGTTAAATATCTTAAAAATGTAGACAAAAACACAACATGGCCTTGTCTCAACATTTATTTCTTGTATTATTAGCCATCTGTGTTTGGAGAGACTTTTGGCGTGCACCATTTAGGAACACGGATAGGTGGAAACCTTGCAGCAAATCTTCAGGGTAGCACAGATGAGCTGTGCTACGACTTGCACAGAATGCCCCTTTCGAGGTTTGTTTTGGGGCAGAGGCTTTAAGTACGGAAAAAGTGGCCTCTGGGGTGACGGCAAGCCTCTTTCCACAGAGCCTTAGCTGATCCTTTTTGTTGTGCACAAACGTGTTAACTTAAGATTTATATTTACTCTGAAACAAGAGATGTATTTCTCCAATTTTAAATTATTTACATTTAAGGAAAAACAACAGCAGTAATCATAAATAACAAAGTAACAGATTGAAAGTCAGCACCGTGAAGTTGAGCTCCTGTATTGTTAAATGCTATCCATAACTTTTAGACTTAAAGAAATAGCCTCATGTTTTACAATATTTTAATAAGAGTTTGAAACTGTTGCTAAGTGGCTTTGACTGTGACACCAGGGAACTAGTAGCTTTGCACCGGGTTTTGTGCGGACCCCAGCCGTGTCCCCAGCCCCAGCCCATAGAAATAGGAAAACAAACCCACCAGGGCCACAGGGAAGCTGCCTTAAACTGTGAGAGTGAAATCAGTGGTTTCTGTTATCTTTCCAGAGGATTGCACGTTATTTCCTCTGGGACACTCTCTTGGCGCCACGGAGGGGACAGCAGCTGCATTTTAAACGCCAAATTTCCCCGTTTGTTTTCCAAATGGACACAGTTTTCTTCCATGTTTCCTGTTGTCACGGAGGCCTATTTTTTAAAGAGTAGAGTTTAGTCCTGTTCATCGGGGTGTCTTCTATTCCATGAGGCCGTGTCGCCAGCGTTTCTGGCCCCTCCCTGGTTCTGAGCACTATGGGGCTTGGGGACTGTCCTCCATGCGGTGGCGTGTGGGCCACCAGGGGCTGCTCAGGGCTCCGTGTGGTTTCCGTGCTTCTGTAATTGGGTATCTTTTGTGAATTCCCAGCGTTTTCCCCCAAAGTGTGAGGCCCTAATGGAGGCTTTTCTTCTGGTTCCTGCAGTGTTTTCACAAATGGAAGATTATTTATTCCACCTGTAAAGATTATTATACCCAAATTCAGCCTGACGGAGTGAAACTGCGTGCTGGCCATGATCGGAGAGAAGGCCTTTCCTCTGGGAGGCGTTCGAAAGTAAGGCTCTGGCCCAGCTCTGGGGACCCGGAAGGAGGGACTCGTTCTGTGCCTTTCAGTGAGAATTTCCTGCCCGTCCAGCAAGGTCTGAAATGATTTCTCGTGAACTCTGATTTTAATTCTTCAGGCAGACAATAGTTCTGCAGTCTTTGGGCCATACTTATTTTTAACAGTTTCATTCATTCATTCAAAAAAGTTTAGCGAGCATCTGCCTCGCGCTCGGCGTGGTGAATACAGCTAACAAGGCTGAGATGTGGTCTCCCCAGTCCCCGGGCCCCCCGTGCCCCTGCCGGGTGGCCAGTGATTAACATTCAGTTAGATGCTCAGGTGATGTAATGAGGCCTCTTGGGCAGGAGAATTCGGGGAGCCACGCAGGGGAGCTGGTGTCCGAGTGGTGACGGGGCCCGTCACGGGGGGATGGAACCCTTGGATGGAGGAGATGGTGTGCTGCACTGGCCGAGCAGTGTTGGCGGCCCCACTGGCCTGGACCCCGAATTTGCAGTAGGACACGCTGCAGGGCTGTGGTTTCCTCCGACGCTCGGCAGCCTGGGACTAGGGAGGGGAAGATAGACAGACTCGTCCATGGCCGAGGGTGGGAAGGACCAGCAGAGGAGGGGTTCGGTGTGTGCAGGTGACTCTAGGGATGGCCCGGTGGCCTCAGACCCCGGCCTGGCGGTTGGAGGAGGGCGGGAGGGAGGGAGTGGAGAGCCGTGAGGCTACAGGCTGTAGCGGGAGGTGAAGAAGACCTGGCCTTGGGAACACACGGGGTGATGAGAAGGCCCGGGTCTCGCCACGGGAGTGGGTGGGAAAGCGCAGGACACAGACCTTCAAAGCTGGGAAGTCGGGTGATGTGGAGTGAGGCCGAAGGACCATTAGAAGCGTCGTCCTCATGGACAGTTATGGTTCCGGGTGGCTGGCATTGGAGAGGAAGAGCAAAAACATTCAGTCCCTTTTCACTTTTGTGTCAATTAACTCTTTCTCGGGGGTGAGTTAAAACATAGAAGATCTACTGACAGTCAAGAGTTGTGATACCAACAATGACAACTGTTGTGTCCACTAGTGAGCGGGACATAACTGTTGGGACATTTAGAGCAATGGGCTACTCGCTAGCCTAATGAGGATGGTGAATAACAGTGAACACGAGTGTTCCAGGGAGACCACTGTTCACATAATAAAAAGTCCTGTAAGTGCCCAGGTGACTTCAGGATGCAGTTATAAGTATTCGTGTTTCATCCTTAAAGAAATAGGGACAGTTGTCTGGAGCAGATAGGCTTGTGCATATTTTTGGAAGAAGCCAGAAACAGTAGTGGGATTAATCATAAGTATCACGTCTAAAATCACAAGTATCACATAGTGGTGAAAGGAAGAGGTGAAATCTTTGTGAGGGAGAAGCAAGCAAGGAAGTAGGATATCTAGAGGGAAAATAGGACACTAGATCAATAAGCTCCTTTCTTTCTTTCCCTGGGCTTAAATTAGTTCTCTGTGGCTGAGTTTAGAAAAAGTACAGAGCTTGGAAATAAAGGAAATGCTTAGAAAGTTCAAATATTCAATAGTAAGCTTGAAAGGGTGATGTAATAGGCACATTACAGGTTTTTTTTTTTTATTATTATCAACGTACATGTTATCTTTGAACGGAACCGACAGCTAATAGCCAACATACGTTTGAGAAGTCGCTTGTATCTATCTGTATTTATCATTCCTTAGATAATGTTAATATGGTTCAGTGGAGGTTTCTACTGTACCTTTTTCTTGTGTCCGTTAGAGACTTAGCCAAGTTCTCAGTGGTATTAAAATTGGTTGATTTATTGGATAGTTTTGAACTTTCTGGGATATATATATATATTCCAGAGAAACCGTTAAGATTGTGTGTGGGTCTCTGTGTGAGAGATTATTGCTGATCTCGGTGTTAGAAAAATGTGCTTTTCGCAGACGTGTGTTGCGTGCTGATTGCACGGTGGGCACCACGCTGTGCGCGGGAGGCCCAGCCTGGTCCGCTCACCCCTGTTGAGCTTGTGGCCCCGCAGAGAAGGCAGAATCAAAAAGAATCACAGTGGAGGGCAGAGTGTGTAGGAGAGGAGCACACCCAGGTGTGGAGCCCAGTCTAGGAATAACCCAGAAGAGGTTCGCCTTGAGGACGGCAGAGGAGTAGAGGTCGGGGTGTGCTGGGCTTGGGAGGAGATGCTGGTGCACCCCTGAAAGCGGGCACCCCCCAGATCTGCACCCGGGTGCTTCTCTCGCCTCACCCTGGTCCAGCCCTGGTTGGGAAATGCAGTGTTATGGGTGATGCCTGGACGTGAGGCTGGCCAGATGCGGTTCCGGAAAGGAGAGTCGTTAGCACGGGGAGGAATTGAAGAGGAAAGAGGCCGAATTTCCCACGTCCCGCAGCCCTGGGCACTGTGCTCCTGGCAGAGCTCTCTACCTGCTGGAAGAGAAGGGTGGTGAGTGGTCCCTGTCAAGTTCTGAGACTCTGAGATACAACCATTTCCACCCTCAATGCTTGATTCAATCTGCATTTGTCGGGCACAGGTTGGGCAGTGTTGGTGAACCTAAACTCTTTTGTCTGCTTTTTCACCATCTGTGGACTCTTCCAGTTGGAGGTCTTCCCTCTTTCATTCTGTGACACGAATTTTCATTATTTCTACCCGTATTTCTTCCTTTCTACTCCTAATTTAACTTATTTTGGGGATTCTTATTATCTGGTTGATGGCACTTCTGCTCATTTTTATTTCTTAACTTCTATATGTTCTATTATCATTTCCTGCTGCTTCCTGGGAGAGTTCCTCTATTTCATCTTCCAAACAATAATTTGTGCTTCTTTCTTTATTTCATATTTCCCTTATTTCTTTTGTAACGTTTTCCATGTTTATGTTAAGTGCCTGGTCCATGTGTCCCAGCACTTCTGCTTCTGGTGGAGTCTCCCAAGGCCCCACCCCCAGCGCCTTGCGGTCCAGCCTCCAGCACCTGAGCTCTGCGGGGAGGCTGTCCTCGCGGCCGCAGCCAGTCAGTCCTGCCGCCTCCCTGGGCCCCTCACTGCCGAGGGTGTCTGCAGCTCCCTGGCTTGCTCCTGGGGACACTCGTGCCAGCTGTGAGCCCTCCAGGGATGGGCACCGATTGTCCCAAGGTGACAACAGGAGAGGAAGAAAGTTCCAAGCCCTGCTTCTCACCTGGAAGCCCTGTGTTCCACTCCCTGGGGCGTCTCACATTTGCCCCCTGTCTGGAAGTTCTTCATCTTGGTCCTACAGGATGACCCTAGGCAGCAGGTCCAGGAGCTGCCCTTGTTAGAAACAGATGCTCAGGCCTCATGTTAGACTCACTGAATCAGAAACTTCAGGGCGGGGGGCCCAGCGCTGTGTGTGAGCCAGCCATCTGGTGGTTCCCTGCTCGCTGAGGTTGAGGGGTGCTCAGGGGAGGGAGGTTTGAGTCCTGTGGGTCCCACCTGTTCCCGGTGCCCTGCATCCATCTCTCCTCTCCCTTCCTGTGCTCACTGCTGTCATTTGTGAGCACGTCATACGCCCTGCGAGAGCTCTGCATCTCCTCCCGCAGGTGAGGTGCTTTTCCTCCATCACATCCCACCCACGATGGCCAGCCGCCTGTTGCTAAAACACTGTGCTTACCCCACACTTCTATGCAAATCCCCACTCACTCCGACTAAATCGATGATAAGCTCCTCCCCCTAGAATTCCAGGCTCTGGGATTCAACGTTCAAGTTCCATTTCACCCAAGGGTGCATTTCACCGTTCGGTGACAGTCAATCCTCTGTGTTCTGGCTTTTTGCAGAGGCCCCTTCTGCTGCCCCAAAGGCTTCATCCCATCTTCACATGAGGAACTCCTACCTACCCTTGTACATTTCACCTTAGTGAAGCCTACAGTCGCCTTTAATCTTTCTCCTCTTAGAATGCTGAGATTTTGCCCTTCTCTGGTCATACTTGCCTTTATAGGCTTTTACACACTTCTTGACTTTGGGGAAGCAGTGGCTTTCTTATTTCATATTTTTTACACAAGGCCATGCCTACCTCATTGTATGGTGCCTAACAGATGCTCAGCATTGAATGAATTGAACATTTTCTTAAATAAATGAATTATGAATTATACATGCCAAAATAGAGTGCAGAATAAAACGTAGACAAATATTAGTCTTTTAGTGCTTACAAAAAGGCATCTTATTTGCTAATAAATGCCGGGTTGTTTTCCAAGTATTGTTATAACAATATAAGCCAATTTGTATTCATTTTAACTGTTATTAGTTAAAATTAATTGAATACCAACCAACAGCTTAAATGTTCTCAGGGCCCTCTGAATACTTGTACATAATTAAAGATACACTTTAATTAAAAAATCTAAAAATGGAAAGCGAGCCTAACCCTGGCAGAGCCGCTCCTGCAGGGCTCCGTTAGCCCGTTTTGGTTACGTTTGCTCTCAGAGCATCAGCTCTCCTGTGGTGCACATACCAGTCGCATTATGTACCGGGTGCCCCCAGCCTGATGTTATGGCTCTTAAGTCCCCAGCTCATTTTTTCTTTCTTTACTCACAGATTATTTACAATGAATGGGCATCTTCTGGACAACTCAAAGGATTTGCAAGACAACCATTTTTACGTTGCGGCAGGACTGGAGGCCTTCCAGTATTTCCCTTATTGGAAGTCCCCAAAGGTCCCCAGAGAAGTTTAACAGTGAGCACATTTCATTGCTTCCCTTCCTGCTTAGTAAACTTTGCCTTTCCCCCCAGCTCCTCTCCCAAGTATGGTCAGTTTAGGTATCTGCTATTTTTCTGTAGTGAAACTTGATATTATCGTTTTTATATATGATGCGTTTTTTTTGTTTGTTTTTTTTTAATACTTTCTTGGCTGCGCCGTGCAGCATGTGGGATCTTAGCTCCCCGACCAGGGATCGAACCCGTGCCCCCTGCATTGGAAGCGTGGAGTCTTAACCACTGGACTGCCAGGGTAGTCCCTATGAGGCAGTTTTGAATTTTCAAAATCTTTGGCATGGAGGAATCACTGCTGTTGGATAGAGCCACAAGGACAGTGAGATCCCGTATTGAGTCTTTCTCTGGGGTTCCTGGGGTCTCAGAGGTCAAGAGTCTAAACATACAGGATAGAGCTGGCCCCAGGCCCCGGTCATGGTAGCCCACACTCCATCTGGTGCAGTTTCGTTTTCTTAATTCGACTTGCTTTTCCTTATCTAAAACAGAGTGTGCAGGCTGGCAGTCTCTCCTGGTGAACAGAGCAGTGATTTTTGTAGTAGATCCTGGGCCTGCGTAACAGGGCACCCCCTGGTGTGTGCATCTGTGGATGCGAAGCAATGGCTGGGAGGAAGATGAGACGGTGGGGACTCTTGTCCCGTCCCCTGAGATAATGTGCCGATTGTCCCCGCACTCTCCGGCTTGCATCTAGGATAGGGCAGCCGAGTGCCAGTAGTGAAGGCATAGGGCTGTCCTGTAGGCTCAGGCCTGGGGGACGCCCGGGGTTTTCCCCTGAGGTAGACGAACCCAGCATTTGCGCTCGGAGTTGCGTCCTGTGTCCTGCCCTGATGCTCACAGGACAGAGCAGGCTCTGTATGTGCAGAGAGCCCTTCTCATGGTTCCTGGTCCTTGAGGTCACGAGATGAGGTGGTCTGGTTCCATTCCCAGGGCAGACTTACACTTGACGCCTCCTTGGTTTTCTGTGTCTCACCCATCCTGCTTTTCAGGGTGTATTTGTATGAAAAACCTCAGTATTCCCAACTCCAAATATCTGTAGGTCTGTAGAGTCCACATCCCTTCCTCACTTTCCTGATGTGCTGGCCAGACACGGAGGCCTCTCTGTGAGACTGGGGCTCTCGGGGCCACAGCTCCAGATGAGCTCCTGAGTGTCTGATGCCAGGTGTCGGGGCCAGACCAGGCTCGGCGGAGGGTTGGGAAGAAGGCTGACCTGCCGGACTGAAGGTCTGCGGTTCACACTGATCCAGCTCCTCAGTTTTGGTCCCAAACGAAGGCCCTGGGATGAGGACTGTGGTTGGGCTTGTTGCCTCTGGGTCAGCCGGGAAGGCGGGCATGGGGCACGGGAGGATAGGCCGGTGGTCAACAGATGCACTCTGCCAGGGGCCAGGCCTTGAGCTGCACGGGACTGGCCATCCCCACTTCTCCAGCGCCGGGGTATCGGGCACTCGGGGGCGTGTACACGCGAGCCCGAGTGTTCCTTCACACGACGGTTGGTACGGTTTTTTTTTCTTTTCTTTTTTAAAATTTTTGAATTTTATTTATTTTTTTTTACATCTTTATTGGAGTACAACTGCTTTACTATGGTGTGTTAGTTTCTGCTTTATAACAAAGTGAATCAGTTATACACATACGTATGTCCCCATATCTCTCCCCTCTTGCGTCTCCCTTCAGTGCGGTTTGTAAGGCGGGCACCGAGCACTGCTCCCCGTCTCCAGGTCTTGCTGAGACAACCAGTCTGGGGGATTTCGGCCCCGTGGCAGCTCAGCCCCCGGGGGTGCGTTTGACCCGCACTAACGTCGGGACTATTTGAGGGCTTGCAGGAGCCCTCCCTGTCGGGCTTCTCTGTCGTGCTCTTATGGTCACTGTGCTGAGAATGAGGTGTCAATTTTCATCTCGCTGTGGGGCAGGCAGGTGGCTTGAGCCTCGCAGGTGGTAGGCCTTCACCCCACCCCGAGGTGCCCTGCAGGAGCTCGGGGTGCGTTTGGAGACGTGAGACGCCACTGGGGGAGCAGTGTCTGGGGGCCCTTATGCCTGTTTTGGCTCCTGTGCTCTTAGGTTTTCTGCTTCAAGGCTCCCTTCGCCCTGTTGACAGATGGTGGCCCCCCAGCACTGTGGGAGGCAGGCAGACACTTAGGTTAGGGTCCTGCCCGCGCGCCCGGTGGGCGTGGATATTTCCTGACTTTGCTGACACCTTGGTCCGTTGCTGACGGTCCTGACAGCATGGCGGGTGGAGATATGGTGGGGCTGTCGGACTGAGTTGAACGGTTCTCTCTACTCTGTGTCCGCTGCTCCCTGCATGAGTTCCTCTGCCTTTCAGTGTGTTTTGTTTCTTCCCATCTTCTGTTCATGTGTTGAACCTTGACCTGAATCTGCTGGTTGCTTGAATAGCTTTCTCCCTCGCCAGAGAGGTTGGGCTTGGGGTGAGCAGAGTCGATAAGAGACTGAGGTCCAGTCACCACACGGGAAGTAGACCAAGCAGGTGCTGGTCTGCTGGAGACCCACATTGGGGAGGCCTTTCCAAACGTGCATGGCAGAGCTTGGAGCCGGTGAAGAATCAGAAACAGCACGTGGATCTGCATGGCTGTCAGGCACAGAAGGAGAACGAGAGCTCTGCGGTGGGGTAGGAAGAGGATGGACTGGGTTTTGGATCGGATTTTGGTCTCAGTCCTTCTGCTGATCAGCTGCGGGGCATTAAGTAAACCCTCATGTTTGGAGCCCGGGTTCTTTACCAGCCCAGGGGGAGCAGTAACGCTTGTTCTGCATGTCATCATGAGGGCTGTGTGACGAAACTGTGTTTGCAAACGTGATTAATCCACCGTCAAAAACTTAAAAATGTTAGGGTTCCCCTCCTCGCTGCCCCAAGATCATATAGAAGCTTTGGGGCAGAGGTGCCTGTAAACGCATGGCCTTAGGTCAGATGCCCACCTGCCTCCCGCCCCCCGTAAGTGAGGAGCCATTGGATTTTCAAGGGTTTCAGGGAAGAGCCAGGACCCAGGAGGCTCCAGTTGGGAGCCCTTGGGGACCAGTCCAGTCTGGCCAAAGGGGCAGACGCTCATGGCACAAGCATGTCTTCCCAGGCATCGGGGGTGTGTTCAAGGGCCATCTGGGGTCCACTTCACCTCCCCCCGCCACCTACTAGCCCCAGACCTGCCTTCCAGCACCTACACTTGTACCTCTTCCCATTGTCACAGTCTTTGCCATTTACACACCACAGTCACACACACCGGATTACCTCTCCTTCTTTTAAGAAACACACTTTTTAAACCTTATTGTAGGTTTGATCTGTGAGAAATGTTTTAATAATGCAAAAGCACGTGTCGGCTACACTGGAGCCTGAGGCAAAAGGAAAAATCGATAATACTCATCCTGCTTTCATTTAAAATTTTTATATTTTGTTCATCGTGCATTACTTTTTGCATTTTGATTTTTCAAGTGCTGCATTCAAGTCGTGTTTATCTTGATGACCGGCTTGTTTGGTGTACCCTTAAATTTTGCACCCAAGGCCAGTGTCTCACCTACCTCTCTTAGCCCCTTCCCTGCATCATTTAAATAAAGTTTTAAAATACTAAAAAAAAAAAAAAAAAGATTTCAGGGAAGTAAAGTGAACAGACTTCCTTGGGGCCCTTTCTCCTGAGCCTGGGAGCCGCTGTTGATGTGGGCTTGTGTCCTCTGGGGACAGAAAGCGCCTTCCTCGTGGTCGGTGCCTCCTGAGGCTGACGCAGCAGTCGACATTTTTGTTCAGATGTTTTTGGCTGGGCTTCACACATTTCAGACTTGACTCTCTTTTGTTTTTCAGAAAGTACTCAGACATTGAGAAGTATTCGCGAAGAAAGAAAAAAGTGAGTCCTTGTTAAAAAGGGCCGATGACAGCCGTGGTCGACCCTGGTGTCTTTTGTATGGCTGATTCATTTTGCTGTGCAGTGGAGGCTAACACAACATTGTAAAGCAATCATACTCCAATAAAAATTAATTAAAAAAAAAAAAGGACACACGACAGGCCGGCCCCGCCATTGTAGAACGAGCTTCTCAGCACAGGCTTACTCCTGTGAATGAGCCGAACAAGGCATCAGGTGAATCCTTGAAGCTCAGTCTCCAGGGCTGGGAGGCACACCCAGGTGTTAGTGATGCAACACAGTGAGTGTGGGGATAAAAAGACACACAGGTCTTCTGGCAGTGGTAGGAGCAAAAGGCCTGGCAGGAGCTGGGCGGAGATGTCAGGCAGACTTGGCAACTGGAGGAAGGTACAGAGGGGTGTGCGTGCGTCCATCTGCAACAGAGGGGTGTGCGTGCGTCCATCTGCAACAGAGGGGTGTGCGTGCGTCCATCTGCAACAGAGGGGTGTGCGTGCGTCCATCTGCACGCAGTCTGACATTGCGGTACAGAGCGCAGGCCGAGCAAGACAGGAACCAGACCTTGGCGGCTCCGAAGGGCCCTTATCACCTGTTTACATGATGAAAACCTCCCAAACCAGCTTATGGAATCAGTACTTCAGCGGCTCTACTTGCGTGAATGTTCATTCAACAAAGCTGTTGAATGCGTACCGTGTCCTTCCCGGCTTTCTAGGCCCGTCCTGCTAGAACTCACCGGCCTCCAGGCTCTCCAGGGTATCGATCTGTTCTTTTCCAATATCTGGCAAACAGCCTTTGGGTTTGCTTTCCTCCAGTTGCAGCCCAGATTTCTTACCCACCATTTATCACCTTCCCGCAAGGAGCTTTGGCTTCCTTACCTCTAGGGGCCACCTTGCATTCGCCTGGTGAAAGCCTGGTCTTGGAGCCCAGCCCCTCGCTCTGTCTGCACTTGCCCTGAAGGAGCTCAGAGTCCCTGCAGGGGATAACACAGCTGACCTGACCCTCTTCACACCGAATTCATGGCCACAATCCTTACCCAGCCGGCCTGCACCTAAAAAGCCTCACTACTAAAAAAAATACTTTTCTGAATAAGTTTTGCTAAATGTTGTTAGGGATTTTTGCACGTCTCTTTATAAGTGAGACTAGCTTAGGATACCTCTTTCTCTTGTTGTCTGGCTTTTGGTGTCAAGGTTTTTCCGAATTGATTCTGTTGTTATTTTGGTAGCTTCTTGAGCTCAGTGATCATTTTATGTATTTTCGATTTTCTCTAAGGATTGCGTTTAGTGTTAAGTGTTTGTTGGATGAATGAATGGGAATCACTGAGAACACAAAAATGATAGACATGATTCTGCCCTTGGGGTGCGCTCCATCTGGTGGGGACACACGTGGACTTACGTCATGACACAAATGTTGTATGAATGAGTCACGGGCATAGGATGATGGTTTGTAGGCTGGGGAGTGATCCACACGTGGAGCTCAGCAAAAAGGTGCAGGTCGTGAAGTGTGATTCAGAGAAGGGGGCAGACAATCCCGGAAGGGAAAACGCCTGCATGAACGCACAGGGTTCTAGTCCCGCAGAGTTATTCTTTTCTGCCCTCCCCAGTGTTTTCATGTATGGTGTGGGCACCGAATTTTGAATGATGACTTATTTAGGAAAACGCCTGCATGAACGCACAGGGTTCTAGTCCCGCAGAGTTATTCTTTTCTGCCCTCCCCAGTGTTTTCATGTATAGTGTGGGCACCGAATTTTGAATGATGACTTATTTAGCGTGAAGAGTACAAGCTTGAAATCCCATACTTTCATGGTTTTGGAAGCCTCTGAGCACACAGGTAATTGAATCCGTCTGCTGAACCTGTAGTGCGGGTTTATCGCTACCTGCTTGTGTTCTGTCCTCATTTCATGGTGGTGGGGTTTTGACTTTGGCTCCTTAGAGGTAGGGATGTAATTTTCTTTTCATTATAAGTTTAAAATTGGTCTAAAATGTGAGCGTGTTTGTTCCGATATTGTCTGCATTCCCTTTTCTCTTCTGGAAATGGATCACTGGAAAATTAATGGGTTTTGATGATGACATTTAATACTTTGGAGTCTAACAGAATGATCACAAACATGGCATAGACTGCAGTGTAAAGATGTGTTACTTTAGGAAGGTTAAGGTCTATCGCTGAGATTCTCCTATGAAGTCAGTGTGACAAGAGCGTATAGCAGGTACAGCAAGCACATTTTGTTCTAGAAAACGGAAAGCCCTAGAAGAAAACAGAGGGCATTGACTTAACAAAGGTTGGTGTTCAGATACCTGTCAAGGGCTTTACGGTATCCGTCGTCCCTTATGTCAAGGTCTGTACGGTACGCAGATCTCAGAACTGAGCACTGGAGGAATCCTTGCCCCATTTGAGGACTGAGCTGCATTGCTGAGAACGGAAGCTACTCCACAGGCCGGCCTCCTTTGTTTGGCTACAGAAGCCTGGATTTTAGGATTAGTCACGGCAGCTATATTACGACAAATATATTTGTTCCTTTATTTACTTGTTCCCAATTTTCCACGTCTAACTTATTAGACTTTCATCTGTTTTCTGCGTGAATATATCCTTTTGGAAAGTGGGGGGAGGAAATTTAAAAATCAACCTGGAAACCCAGGACTGCCCCTCGAGGGAGACATTGCCCTGCAGCACGTGAGGGGCTGTCGTGGACCCTTGGTCATCTTCCCATTCTAAGGCTGTTAGGTGGGCAGAGTAGCAGCTCTCTGTAAGATCGAGTGCTGAGTTTTCTTTTAAAAAATAAGTAGTTTTTTAAAACATTGTTAAAATTGAAGTATAGTTGATTTACAGTGTTGTGTTGCTTTCATGTATATAGCAAAGTGATTCAGTTATACATATATGTGGACATGTATATTCTTTTTCAGATTATTTTCCGTTATAGGTTATTACAAGATATTGAGTATAATTCCCTGTGCTGCACAGCAGGTCCTTGTTGTTTACCTATCATGTATATAGCAGTGTGTATATGTTAATCCCAAACCCCTAATTTATCTCCGCTGCCCACTTACTATCCTCTTTGGTAACCATAAGTTTGTTTGCTGTGTCTGTGGGCCTATTTCTGTTTTGTAAATACATTGATTTGTATCATTTTTTAGATTCCACATGTAAGTGACATCGTATGGTATTTGTCTTTCTCTGTCTGACTTACTTCACTTAGTATGATAATCTCTAGGTCCATCCGTGTTGCTGCAAATGGCAGTATTTCGTTCCTTTTTATGGCTGAGTAGTATTCCATTGTATATATGTACCACATCTTCTTTATCCATTCACCTGTCAATCAATGGACACTTAGTTTGCTTCCTTGTCTTGGCTGTTGTGAATAGTGCTGAAAGTATCTTTTTGAATTAGAGTTTTGTCTGGATATATGCCCAGGAGTGGGACTGCAGGATCACATGGTCTAAATCTGCAAGTGTTTTCTTAAATGTACTGACAGTATAAAGCAGAGACTCTGTCCTGACTCTTCTATGAACTGAACACAAATACACACAGAGCTTTTGACCTGCAGACTATCAGACTCAAATGGAGGCATCCGTTGATGTGTCTGGTGGTCCGGGAAACCTTCATGTGCTGGAGATACAGCGATGAGCTGAGTGTGAGTTTCTGTGAGTGGTGAAGGCAGACGTGCCAGTGAACAGAACACAGTGACTGTAACAGTCCTCACCGGGAAAATGGAATCTGTTCCCTGGCTCAGCCCAAGCCCACACGTCATCCTGGATTCCACCGGCATCAACCCCTCCCGCTTGCATAATTCCAGTAGGGCAGCAACCCCTCTGCTATTAAACTGCCCAACTTTCAGACGCACCTGTGTCTCTCCATCAGCACTGTGCAAAGAGTCAGGAAAACCACAATACCTGAGATGGGGAAGTGGGATGCAGGTGGCAGGCTGGGAAGGCAGGCTGGGACCGTCATGAGGGCTGGAAGGGCAGGTGAGACACTTGGATTCATAGGGATCCTGACCTCAGCAAGGGAGTGAAATGAACAGATATGCACTTGAGAGTCACTGCTAGTGATGGAATAAAATGTACGGACTGAAAACGGAGCCGGAATAACAATAGCGGAGGAGAGGCCCGTCCTGAGGCCACTGCAACGCTCCCAGCGAGGGGCAGGTGGGGTGCAATTGGGTTCAAGAGCTGCTGTGTGTTACTGATTCTGTGACAGGCATTTTCCCCATCTTTGAGGCTCTGAAATACGGGCACCTCTTAGGCTGATGGCATCTTGGCCGTTGTGCTGCAGCTTCATCTGTTGTCACGGTGAACTTGGCCACAGCTGCTCACTTTACTGTCTCTCCAGTTGAGGAGGTGCATGGCTGACACTGCACGTGGTGAGCTTACTTGCTGTGTAAATGTCCTCGAAAGGATTTTGCTGTGATTAGGAATTGAAATGAAAGTTATTATATACGTATGGAAATTCATAAAGATAGAAACAGCAAGATGTGCTGTTATTTGTTATTAGTGGGGTATATTCTCCTTCAATTCCATATGTTTTTGCAGAACAACAGCCGGTTCTTTTATGGACCCAGGAAAGGGAGATACCCACACATAGCGGAGCTATCAGCTTCAGTAACCTGTTACTGTGTAAAGAGCCATCCTGGGGACTTCCCTGGTGGCACAGTGGTTAAGAATCCGCCTGCTGGGCTTCCCTGGTGGCGCAGTGGTTGAGAGTCCGCCTGCTGATGCAGGGGACACGGGTTCGTGCCCCGGTCTGGGAAGATCCCACATGCCGCGGAGTGGCTGGGCCTGTGAGCCATGGCCACTGAGCCTGCGTGTCCTGAGCCTGTGCTCCACAACGGGAGAGGCCACAACAGTGAGAGGCCCACGTATCGCAAAAAAAAAAAAAAAAAAGAATCCACCTGCCAATGCAGGGGACATGGGTTCGAGCCCTGGTCTGGGAAGATCCCACGTGCCGTGGAGCAACTAAGCTCGTGTGCCATAACTACTGAGCCTGTGCTCTAGAGC